TACTAATTTATTTTTAATTTTGAACTGGAAGAAAATTAACAACATTCGCAGCGAATATCTTAAGAAGTGAAATGAACGGACAAATAAGAAGCAATCATTAGTTGCGTTGTCAAAGCAATGCTAATTCTATGTTCCTGAATTTCAGGAGTATAAATAAAATCTCTCGCAATCAATGCTAACTTTTCGTCGTCAGATAAATAACAATAGTACAGAATCAATGTTTAATGACTTGAGTCAACATATGAGAATAAATGTTATCGTGTTGCTACTGTAAGGTAACCACCTTTTCCTAATAGATTTTCTTTGCACGCACACACACATATATACACACACACATACACACTCACACACACATACACTCACACACACTCACACACATATATATATATATATTAAGACATGAATACTTCAAACAAATTCCTACGATTTTCTGTTAATATGACTTATTTTGTTGAAAAAAGTCAAAGTTGTTTTCGCTCTTATTTAAAACTGCATTTTCTTCGCGTATCATTCTTCATTTCCTAAACTGAAGGTAATAAGATCATCGTCGATAATCAATACATGACTTTAGTTGTTTTATTCAACGCAGTGACTTTTAAGGAATAAACACTGGAACATGTTCTCAAATCAATGAAAAACACTTACTGAAAAGTTCTTGCAAGAGGAAGCTTTGTAAGTCCCCTTAATTAATGTTGTCTTGATCATTCATCCATCATTTTTGGTAGCGTTAAATATTTTTTTTTTTTTTAAAAAAACAAGACAAAACAAAAAGGTAGTAGAGATGAAATAGTAAAATTCAAAGAAAGTTTTACTTTAAAATAACAGAATTAAATGGAAATGAACACATTTTGTTTTGATAAGGTTTCTGGAGAGTATTAGCAAAGTGGCTGAATGTAAGAGAATAAATAAAAAAATATTTGGGTTATTATTTTCATTTAATCATTATTGAGATAAAGGAGGCTTCCCAAAACCCACTCGATTTCTTGTTAACTTCCGACCTTCAAAAATGTAAATACAATGTCAATCGCCATCTTATGTCTTTCTGAATCCCGTTTCTTTAATGCACTTTTCCTCTCTTCTCTTCACTAAGTGTTCTCATTCTCTTTCACTTCCTGAAACCCTTGAGTCCTAGTGGCATTGTTGCCTTGCTTTAGGTGAAACGACTACAAGTTCACTTAGCTGTTAAATGTTCCTAGGTTTCATCGATAAAAGTGGTCAATATCATGGATAGAGCGCATGTAAAGATAAAAGTGGACACTTCAAACCTGATGATTGCGTTCAAGGATGAAACAGACTATCACCGGCCGGTGTTGACCTCAGTGTCTACTTTATATATATATATATATATATATATATATATATATACGCTCAGATTTTTTATACAGGTCAACATGAGTAACATTTTCATGACATGATAAACATTCTCGGTGAATATAAACGTACAATATCTGTATTTTACCATGACTTATTTAGCAGCGTCAGATTTTATTATATAACTTGAGGATTGTTCATATAGTAAGTGAATTTAGAATCTTATAGTAATTGATATTTATTCTTTAATTTAAAATATATGAAAATTGCCGTAACTCAAAAGAAACATGTGATTCTAAAAATGAAACAAGATATTATAAAGTTATTAACTGATGAAAACAACGTTGCTTATTGCAAAACAAAAAGTTGAACTGAGGTTACAGAACAGTCAAATAGAAATTAAGGTTAATATGGTAAAAAGAAAAACAATGACATAAAGAATGAAGTGTTTTGAGAAAAATTAAAAGGTTAATGTGCAAGAAAATCAATTGACCAACAAAAAAAAATATGTGCAAAGAAAGTTATGTTAAAATAAACAGAAAAAAATGAAAACTATAAAGAAGCCTGGCAAAAGACATGCAAGCAACCATGCTTTCACTTTTAAGTAAACATCACAAATATGTAAAAGTACAAATTGGGTGAAGAAATGTATGAAAATGGATTTTTCAGCTGTAATTTTTAGTGATTAATGTACAGCTACATTGGATAGACCTAAAGGCCTCGGTTAGAGGGCGAGTCTTTCATTGAAATAGATAACTAACGCAACCTGGAAGTAGTCCCAAGATAAGTAATGTCTTGGTTTAGTCTCTTCCGCAGTAAAATTATAGATTTTAGCGTTGATGGTGGAGTCAAGATAAATACAACGAATTATTTTAAGTTTTACAATACGTTTTTCAGTGATACAAGTAGTAATCAAAAGAATAAACATAAACAATATATTTATTCTCGGTGATGCTAATTTTATATTCTGCAAATCTAATTAAATAAAAAAAAAGAAACTATATTAACGGAATATGGCCCATCTTCTCCATAAATTAACCCAATATAAAATTCTTGGTTCATAATTAAGAGATGTATATAAAAATATTAATTTAAGCAAAGAAAAGCAATGCGAATCGAAGCAAATAATTTTTTTTTTGTTTTTTTAAGCATTTCACTCCAGCAAAGCGGGAATGCCACGAGCATATGCAGGGGGTTACAGAAAGAAAAGATTGTGTATAGGAGGGATTGAGGAAATGATAAAAGAAGAATGGGGAGAAAAGGCAATAGAAGATGGCGACTGACGTTGCATTTAATTCTTTGAGGATTGTAGTTATCAGTGAAGCAAGTGGAAGGGAGTTCCACTGTCGGGAAGCGCGAGAAAAGAAACTGCTGCAGTAGAAGTGTCGGTTACTGTTGTGGTAGGATCCACCTAATTTGCATAGTGGAGTACCGACCATATAAATATGGTTGGTACCGGGAAGACGGGGAGAGGAATCAAGAGATTCAATCCAGAGACTCTGCCCGACTGCGACTAAGTCAACACATTCTCCAGGAACGGTCTTCCCAGGAATATACAAAAGACTATATGTAAATATTGTGTACACTTTCTTGTTTCAATACATTTTGTTCTAAGTACATTTTGTGTTGTATTATTATTCCATGCATTAGTCAAGTTTCAACAGTTACATTTAACTATATCAACAGGAAAAGGGTGGGACCTAGAAGCCAATCTAGTAGCCCGCTTAAATTCGTGTAGTCGGGGCACCAGGGAAGATAGCAGGTCAGAACAGTTGCCATGAAAACATTTGTAGAAAAGACAGGGGGAAGCTACATCACGTCTATGAGAAATTCACTGAAATCGAGATTTATTGTTGTTAGTGATTCGTTTTTTTTTAACTGTTTATCAACCCTTTGCAGGTTATTTAAAGCCAGAAAATATTTTTAGATTTTAAGAAATTTTTGAAGATAATATTGTTTTACTAATTAACCCAAAGTTTGGGGTAGAAGAAGTAAATTCGTACCTTTCCCAAGAGAATTTGCCCGTAAGTGAATATAACGAACCCATGTGGAATTGGAACTCGGCTCTCTAATAAACAACTCCGAGCCATTATCCATTACACCACCCGCACATCCAAGCTTGCAGTGCCTAATATTTTCAAGCGGTCAACAACCTGGGTACTGACCAGGCTTAACATCGGTGATCGTACGAGAACAGGTGTTTCAACATGGCCGTAAGCTACAAATAATGTTAAATTGGAAACAAAAGGAAAATTATCAATATCAATACGTAAAGAATGTCACGGATCTCCTATTAAGATATAAAATAAAAATAATCATTTATTTAGGCATCTAGGATATTGTGTTGATAAAATATATCTTTATGAGGATTATGTATTTTGAATTTATAAATAAACATTTATACTGCACTTTGCCAGTCAAATACATTACATTCACTTACGGGCTAATACCCTTAAGAAAAGTATGAATACTCTTCTCCCCACCTAGCTATGGGTAAATAGCAAGACAGACAGGGTTCTATAGCCTTGGATGGCAACTGGTCTACCGCAGAAAGAAAAGGCAACCTACTGCGGGAAAAAATCTGCCTTCTTAGTCATGTATCGAAAGATATATGATCGTCTAAGCGTGTATCACGCATGGCACATAAATGACTCTACTTTGTTTTTTGTGTTGTTTTGCATAATAAATTCTAACAACAAAATAATTTATTATCAATATATTTTAATAAGGATATATGTTATAAGCTTAAAATTATATGATATATTGTTCAAATAAATATAAACGTATTGGGAAAATTTTAAAAATATAGGTTGCTTAATACTAATTTTATTGTGGAAACATTGACTTGCATAATAAAATCTGACATCGTGAATAGAGCACAAGTCGCAAAAATAATAAAGATTATTAAAAATTTAAAGATCAAGATTTATCCGGAAAGAAAAAACGAAGTTAAAAAAAAACAACAACAACAAAAAGACATTTATCTTGAAATTTTTCACCAAAACCGCCAAATCCCCGAATTTAAGAAAAAAGATCTGATCTGGTCGTCGTAAACAAAGAAAATAGGGTCTACTGAATTATGGATGTAGCTGCATCAGTCGATCTCAAGCTGAAGAGGGTAAAAAAGCGAAAACTTTAAACAACACTGGGGCCTTTTTCAAGAAAAGAGAAAATTGCAAAAATGTTACGAGTTGCCACATTTTATTGTGCATCATACGATTCGAGTCCCGTAGTACTGCCATCCCTATATAAATGGTTTTTTTTTCATTGATTAATTGATTGATACGACTTATCAACCCTTTACAATCAACTGAAAGTCAGAAATCATTTTTAGATTGTCTAATAAATTAACAACTGTAAACATAATCTTATGAAGCTTTATTTTACTAATTCAGCTTTAGCGTTGAAAAGCGTTTAATCTATTGTGATGAATGGTTACAAGCGAGTTGGAGGGAGAGACTGTGCTTATTTTATTAACACAGATTGTAAGAACTTCTTTGAGATAATAATGATTTAGTGATACAAGTCTTACTAATTAAACCAAAACTGGGGGAGATGACATGGATTCATACCTGTCCCAAGGGTATTTTTACGTAAGTGAATATAACGAGCCCATGTGAAATTGGAACTCGGCTCTCCGATTAACAATTCCTAGCCATTATCCATTACACCACCCGCACATCCAAACTCACAGCACCTGATATTCGCAAGAGGTCACCTATCTAGGTACTGACCAAAATCGACGTTGCTTAACTTTGATGATCGTACGGGAGCCAGTGTTTTAATGTGATGCGGCTGTAAGCAGATTTATTTATTTATTTTATAAATATTGTACAATATTGTCCAGTAAAACTCAATTTCGTACATATATTTCTCTAAAATATTTAATTTTAATATTAAACAATATAAATATACCGGATGTTTAGCTGTTGCGTGTTTCTTTAAACTATAGGGGAAAGGTGCGGACTAGACAAACCCGGTAATCTAGGTACCTCCACTAATTCGGTATACGTAAGTTTTAAAATAAATTTTAAAAAAGGAAAAGCTTTCCTGGAGCCTTCATTTTAGCTTTAATTGAAAGCTAAATGATTTACAATTTACTATTTCGAGTCATCAAAATACTCTGTAGTGTATTTCAAACAGAAATTATATTGATCGGAATCGATTTTTCCAGTAAAATCGATAAAAGTCGGCCATTTTTACACATTTATAAACAAAAGTTAATTCTCAGTTTTAAAAATCTTGCAAAAATAAAATATATATTTCTGAAACATTATTTGAGGAGAGTTAAAAAATTTAAACTTAAATTAATCAGATTTATAACAAATATTACTTACTTATAGCATAAAATGTTGTATACAAACATTTCTTAACTACCGGGTTTTGTTTTCCTGACGTGTTAATCGATTTATTTACAGCCGAACGTGTTCATAATCAAGCATGGTGGAGCAGACGATATACTTTATAAGGGGGTGGGGATAACCCTTGAAACACGTGACCTTTTAATGATAGATTTATCGGCTTGTACTTCCATACTTCAGAAATTCTGTACGTAATCACACATACAAAAACAAATTGAAATTCTTTTTAAAATATTCGGGGTCGTCAGATTGTAGTAAGCTTTACAATATATGATTAATAAAAATAGTTTTACTTAATAACAATATTTTCTAACAATTCTCACATTAAAAATGAATTTTAAAAGATTTAAAATCTTTATAAATTATTCAATTTAAAATTGTAAAATATGAAAACAAATCTTGTAAAAATTCATTTTTTGTCGAAATTTTTTCTTCAGAGAATATTATCTTTAATATATATCATTCATAAAAGCAATTAAAATCTCCTTTAATTAAATAATGTCTTAGTTATATTGCGTTTTTAGTTTTTCATTCAGAACAGATTTTCTGTAAGACGCAATTCGATTCTGCTTTTAATTAATATAAACACTAAAAATAATCACGTTGAAGTTTTCAAGTTTTCATAAAATTAATTAAGGGGCTTGAAATATGTAAAAAAATATTTTTCCCAAGTGCTTCTAATAATTTTTAAAAAGTTTATTTGTGAATAAATCTCATTAAATTTCGACAGTTATTTGATTTTTGCAAGAATTTCCAAATTAATGTGTCTGTCACCGCAAAAATTTGCTCACTATTTACATTATTCGGACTATTGCCCTCACCTTTGTCGCCATATTTATTACAACGTTTCGGCCGTTGTACGCTCCGGCCTTCTTCAGGTGGTTGGAATTCATACACATATGGACACCTGGCACAGTGGATAAAGGTGTTAGTTAGATCCAGTGACAGGACGCAAAGAGTATGAGTTCAATACCTGATTATGGCGGTGGAGAACTTGGAGAGGTGAATTAACAGGAGATAACTGATAACTGACATCCACTAGACATGGCACATGGAACTAGAACAGTTTACCCCAGTGAGCGAAATAAAAACGGTTCAGTTCGACATTCCAGACACCTGAAGAAGGCCGGAGCGTACAACGCTCTTAAAATTATCTTTAAATTAAAATGGCGGCAAAAGAATTAACTTTGAACTTTTAAAAGGTAACCTTAAATATTAATGCACTACTTAAATTCAGTGAACAATTTTGAGTTCTCCTGCAGTTTGCCTATCCCTTATAGCAGTAGTATGCCTCGCAAAAAGAAATATCCACTAACAGAGGACCAGATTACGATCAAAACTAAGCTGTAGTGAGGACAAGAAAGTCCCGTACAAATGAAAACCTAGATTAAACGGCAGCCAGGAGAGCTTCCAATGCTGAGAATATGCAAATACTTAGGGACTTTCAAGCTCCTGAACAAGCTGGGGGCCCAATCAAGAGCTCTTCGCAGGAGCTAGCTTAAGTGCTACCCTATAGGGCAGCTTTTAATCTAGTCAATTAAATATTTGAATAACTGAGACTTTCCTTGAGTATGACATTACTGGAAGTTGCGGGGATAAGTTGCTAAAGCTGCCGAGATATGAGAAAACTTTCTATCATCTAATCACCAGCAATGACAACTAGGCATCTAGTGTAAACATAAAAATGCGTGAATTAATGATAGAGAATGCAATTAATTATGAGCAGAGCTAGAAAACTATGATATATCAGAGCAATAATAATCTCTATAAAAAGCGGAACAGTGAGATTGATTGCAATGGCCGTTGCAAAGAAACAACAAATTTTAGATACTAGAAAGAAGGCCTAATCTAATCTTTCCTAACAAATTGTGCAAAGAAGTTTGTGTTGAATGAACAGGCTTCTGGTTCATTTCATATTAATACAGGGGTCTGCTAGGACTCTCTCCTCAGACCTAAGCCTTTTCTGATCTCCCTCAACGACCTTCCCGATGTCATCAATTCTCAACTACGTGCCTATGCAGATGACACAAATTTACTGCTGTCTTAGCAGCTAGTCCGACAGCTCCGACAAAGTAAAACTGGCAAATGGCCTCCAATCTGTGGTTAACCGTGGCAAGGAATAACTTGTAAATTTTAACGCCTTCAAAACAAAACTATTTAATTTAATCACCACATCGACCTTTTCTGCTTGCCATCAGCATGGTTGATGTTAAACTTCAGGAAAGCAACACTTTGCACCTTCTTGGGCTGCTGTTTGTCATTGACATAAAACGGTGTGATTATATTGAATTAATTACTAGGTTTACTGCCAGGAATGTTAGTTAACTGTTTCATGCCAGAGAATCATTCTTGTCAGAATCCTTCTTGCACATTTATAGATATACCATCCGTCAGAGCATTGAATACTGCTGCCATATCTGGTATTGTGTTCTTACTAGAGTCTGTAATGTAATTGATCTTGACATGGCATCATGACTTCAGTCACTTTCTCACTGTCAGGACGTGGCTTACCGTTGTCTTTTCTACAAATAGTTCCATGACAACTGTTCTGATAATGTTTTTCCCTAGTGCCTTGACTGCATGAATTTAATCTTGATACGAGATTAGCAACTAGGTATTACCGTTTTACAGTTGAACTATCTAGATGCAACCGCATGTTCCTCTCTAATAGTGTCTTTTCTCTCATTTCTCGTCAGTGGAACTCTCTACCAATTTATTGTTTCCCTGCCATCTACAATCTTTAAACTGTAAATTTAAAATTTAAATGCAACGTCAATAGCCATCCGCTGTCTTCCTTAATTCTGTTCCTTTATTACCCTTTGTCTTAACTTCAGTAAAATATTCTCATTTCTTTCATTCATTGTAAGCCCTTGCGTCTTAGTGGCATTATCCCCTTACTTGACGTGAAATGTCTAAAATAATTAACAAGACTGAAGTATTAAGTATTATTGAGTTCAGCGAGAATACACGGAATAGATTTGATGATTTGGATAGATATATTGCCACTTGATAATCCACGATGACTACTAGAGACTTCAGGTTGAAAAATAGAAATAAAGAAAAAATAATTTATTTAGACTTCACAATGTTTAGCACAAGACTAAATTCACAGAGAACTAAGGGATAAATAACAACGGCCAATGACCCAAGAAAGTATTGAGATTTATGATGATACTGGGGAAAGTGCTGGAGATTTGAGGAAGCTTGTTGTCAACCAATCTCTACCATTCTTATTACTCTTATATTTCAAGCAAAGTGCTTAAAATCATTGACTAAAGAATTTATAAAGCATAAAGAAATTAATCATAGCATACGTTGTTTGAACGCTGGAAACGATTCCGAAAAGTCGAGCAAGAACTGAAACCTTAAAACGGTAATACTAAAACCAGTTGAAATACTCACAAGAATACTGAAGGAGACTTGATGTCACTTAGTCAGGTACAATGGATGTAAAATTTCAATAAGTAGAAATTATAATACTTCAAAATAAGGCGGCCTTGTTTTTGTTGATCCCATAAGGAGATATACTAAAATATACTAAAACTGACCCCATGATTCTTTATTCAGATTAAAATAATAGAAAGTTAGATTTTCTAGGAAAGAAGAATAATGGGAAATATGGTAATATAGTTACTAATTAGTAATAATTTCTTCGGTGCATCGTTATTATTTTGTACTTCCGAGTTACTAGTGTTCGCACATCAGTAATACTTATAATTTGACTTTCGTTGACCAAATAACAGCAAATCACCTCAATGCTTGAAAGCCTCTTTTCAAGTAATTTTTCTTTTCTTTTCTTATTATTTGTAATCATTGAGTTTTACACTAACTGTTAGTTTTCCCTGGAAATTAAGTGACAAGTCTCCTCAATAGTTTAGCGCCATCGCCATCATCATCATCATCATCATCATCATCATCATCATCATTATCGTCGTCGTCGTCGTCGTCGTCGTCGTCGTCGTCGTCATCAAATTCAAAATCATCATCGCTTTATACTTATTATTCTAGACTTCACGCCAGCAGTAACTGGTGACGAAAACTTACTCTCTAGAGATTGACACCAATAAGTATCCTTAATATTCCAGCTCTTTTACATTTTTAGATTTCTTTCTTTCTTTCTTTCTTTCTTTCTTTCTTTCTTTCTTATTCATATTATTATTATTATTATTACTGTTGCTGTTATCATTAATCTAGTCGTAAATACAAAAACGAATGTAGATATACAATACAATATGAACATGTGGCGTCTCTCTTCTACGCAAGTAAACCTTTATGTGTCTATATGTTAATAAAATAATATATACGTTTATCAAATTACATACACAGTGGCGACATACAAAAAAAGACAATTTTCGTGTAGATTTCGTATCTTTATTTCAGTTATACACTTATAAATTTACACACTAAACTACTGATACACCTATG